TACACACTGTAAGGCATTCTGTCTTAGTACCCAGAGGTGACAAAGCATCTGTTGATTTTTATTTATTTAAAGCAGGTATTAATATGCTGCAGTATCTACTTCCCATCAGGTTATGTACGTTTGTTACAAAATTTTGAAGAAAATAATTATTACTTTTAACAAAAAGTAAAAACGTTTTATAAGTGGTAGAGCTACGCTGCAGCTAGTTTGATAGATTGAATCGCAAACATGGATAAATGTAGATGTCTATGGGCCCCAGCAACCACTTACCATCAGGTGGACTGTGCTCGAGTGACTAGCGAGCACACAGCTCGCTTGTCACCCTTATATCACAAAAAGAAAAACTTCTAATTGCTAAAAAGGAAGCTATTTACTTGCTACCCTTAGGAGTGGAATTTTTTTTCAGCAAATTTATATGGGACCACCCTTGAAGTATAACCTATTCAATAAAAAAAGAATCATCAAAATTGGTTTACAATCTGCGAAGATATTGCGTAACATACTTACAAAAAGAAACATACCCTTGAATTGAGAACCTCCCCCTTTTTGAGGTCGGTTAATTGCCTCCATGGGGGGGGGGGATATTTACCATAATTGACATGCTGGACAGGCTTTAAGTTGTTAAAGTTAAAACAGTTAAAGTTACAGCCTATATAAGCCCCACTGCTGAGCACAGGCCTCCTCTAATTACTGAAACTCCTCTCATTTCTGAGAGGGTTTTAGGGGAAGGAAATATCCGCCGCACAGCCCCAATGCGCGTTAGCGAACTTCACATGTCTTCGAATTTTTTTTCTTATTTCTCAGACATGCAGTTTTCCTCACGATGTTTTCATTCACCGCCGAGCACTTGGTAAATCAGCACTTAAAATTGCAATTAATAATTTCATTTGTGCCGGGGGTTTGAACCCGGGTTGCTCATGTATTGTGAAATTTAAAGCCAGGGCTAACCATCTGAGCTACTACGGCTCACGCCTCACAGTTTTACTTGTACAACATGGAAAATAAACTTTTTGGTTTTATATCCATTAGACGGCTCCGTGTGCAGTGGCTTAGCAATGAGTTGTTGCGCTGGAGGTTGCAGGTTTGAATCCCACACGGAACAAATACTTGTTCCTTGCAGGATGTTTGTCCTCATGCAATTTATGTTTGTAAACCCTTATACTATTAAAACAAATTGTCTATACGATACAGGAGAAAATCCTAGTGTTGAGATAACATTTCTTAATATAATATTAAAAGAGAATTAAAAGATTACAGATGTTAAGGTATGGTATTTTTGTCTATTACATTTATTGTATAATTACTTGGTTTAGTAATTTTGTAAAACTATTTATATGTGTTACTGCTTAAGGATGGGACAAACTGCCACTAAAGTGGTCCTGAAATAATCTGCTATGTACCACAGTGAATTAGTACAGCTGATCTGACTGTGCGGAACTGATTTGTTCTCGTTTGTCACGCTTATTCTATAAAAAATCGGGGTGTGGGTGTGTCGTGGACATAGCTGTGTGTTTTAAGTGAATATGTGTACGTAACGATACAACCTCAGAATGACAGCGCTCCCCCCACCGTCACGCGCGATGCGTCATAGTCCTCACTCAATGTTACAAATTCGTTGATTCTTTAGCTGTGGAGTGGTGTAATTAAATGTTGGATGTAGATGATAGACAGGCAGCTGCAACACCTTACTGTATACCTCGATTTTATTATTGTCAGTTTTCCAAATTGTCTCCCACTATTGAAGCAAATTTAAAGATATTTATATTCACTTAAAATATATTGCAAACAATATTGTAGGTTATCTCATTTCGAATAAAAAAATGTACTCATTCACACCAAACTTATTTTAATAATATTGATAATTGTAACTTCATTACATTAAACTTCTACGATACTAAAGTAAATGTTAATTTTGGAAAATTATTTAAATGTTCATAAATAGTTAACTAATATTTTGTTTTAATAATTAAAAAGTTTGTACAACCAACTTCAATATAAATTATTAAGAATAACTCAAAAGCTATTGGTTAGACTTTGATCAAATTTATATGGGACCACATGAGAAGCCTCAGCTTTCAAATAAAAAAAGAATCATCGAAATCGGTTCACCCAGAAAAAGTTATGAGGTAACATACATAAAAAAATACAGTCGAATTGAGTACCTCCTCCTTTTTGAAGTCTGTAGAAAAAAGGGGGTTTTCAGGCACTTCAGTTACTGTAAACGTAAAAATAACCCGGCATTCTGCACATCATAGTTAATATTAGTTCTAATTGATGGAGCTAGTTTTTATAAATCAATGCAACATTGCTGCAAGTGTGGGCAGCAGAAGCAAATTTTATAAAAAGAAATATTCTGCAGGGGCTGCTGATGTAACTCGATACAGCGAAGAATCTGTTAAAGTCGACGATTCAGTGCAAGCGCTGCGGGAAACGGCTGGTGATAGACAAAAAGCAGGCCACCGTGCAGTACTGTGAGTACGTATCTTCTTCTTTTTCATTAGCTCGTAAAAATCCACTGTTGGATATGCACTTCTACGGTTGTAGGCAAGTTTTGTCATATTCTTTACGCCTGGTTAGCTGCTAAACGTCAGGTTGTGCAATTGTCAATCCGCTAACCGTTAGCGGATTTACAATTGCAGAACCCGACGTGAGCACGCTTGACGCTGCTCCCCGTCGTCGGTCTGGGTATTTTACGTCTGGTGTATACGAGACGGTTATACCGCTTACTTACTTTCTTAAGATTTTTCTTGTATGTGTATGTAATAGAGCTGTGATTACTGATTAGCATGCGCCGGTTCTTTTGTTATCTGAACAGAACCGGTTCTGCAGGCCATTTTCGTCATAGTCATCGTCATTATCATCGTCATCGTCATCGTCATGGTCGTTGTCGTCATCGTCATCGTCATGATCGTTTTCGTCATCATGGTCATCATCATCATTATGATCATAATCGTCATTGTCATCGTCTTCATCCTCATCGTCATCGTCATGGTCGTTTTCACCATCGTCATTTTCATGATCGTTATCGTCATCATGGTTATCGTCATCATTATGATCATAATCGTCATTGTCATCGTCCTCATCGTCATCGCATCGTCACGGTCGTTGTCGCCATCGTCATCGTCATGATCGTTTTCTTCATCATGGTCATCATCATCATTATGATCATAATCGTCTTTGTCATCGTCCTCATCGTCATCGTCATCGTCATGGTCGTTGTCACCATCGTCATCGTCATGATCGTATTCGTCATCATGGTCATCGTCATCATTATGATCATAATCGTCTTTGTCATCGTTCTCATCGTCATCGTCATCGTCACGGTCGTTGTCACCATCGTCATCGTCATGATCGTTATCGTCATCATGGTCATCGTCATCATTATGATCATAATCGTCATTGTCATCGTCCTCATCGTCATCGTCATCGTCACGGTCGTTGTCGCCATCGTCATCGTCATGATCGTTTTCTTCATCATGGTCATCATTATCATTAACAGTGGTAGAGCCACGCGGCAGCTTTTGCTGTCGCACGGATGGGCCGGCTCGAACCGGGGTAGTACCACGACCTCACAGAAAACCAGCGTGAAGTAGAGGTTTACCTCTGCGTTTCGCTTGGTGAGTGCAGGTGGCCGGAGGCCCTTTTTACTGGAAGTGAGGCATTCCATCTTAGTCCTCACGGGTGACAACGCATCTACATTTTGATTTGTAAAAGAGGATAGATGTAGATGTCTATGGGCCGCAGCAACCACTTACCATCAGGTGGACTGTGTGCTCGTTTGTCACCCTTATCCTATAAAAAAAAATCATTATCATCGTTAGCATTGTTATCGTTTTATCGTCATCATCATCACTAGTGCACTGCAGAACATTCACGAACACTTTTCTTCTGCCTTCATCAACTTCTAAGACTTACTACGTGTAAACTATGCAGGAAGAAGAATCCACTACACGCTCCATTAACCCGTAACGAAGCCGCTACTAGAGTATATTTTTTCTCTGTTGGTTTTTTTCCTTGGTAGAGCCATGCCGTAGCTATTTTATGGTTGGCTCGACCGCGGCAACATAAAATAGCAGCTTAATGCTGCTGTATTTCGTATTTCGTAGTGTAGAGGATCGGATACTGGAAACAAGGTAATTCCATCTCGGTTCTCAGGGGTGAGAAGGCATCTGCATTTTGATTCGTAATCGACGATAGTTGTAGATGTCTACAGACCACAACATTCACTTACCATCAGGTGGAATGTGTGCTCGTTTGTCGCCCTTAATCTGTATTAAAAAAAAATTGCCGGCCCATTGCTAATTTAAATTACTGATTCTTTGGGTTATGTTGGTTATTCTGGTTCCACTGTGAATATCTCCAATATGTAGGTAGTCGTATCATGTAGATATACTCTGAGCATAACCTTCTTTATAGCTTGTTGAGTGATCATGAGCTTCAGCACTTCTGCTCCACTCCACGCTGTAATTGATCAGCTTCTGAAGGACTTCAACTATTTTTCAAGGATAGAGTGCTCCATAATGCTCTCAGAAAAGAGGTTAAAGCCAATGCCAAAAGTGGGACGTATTTAAGTAGAGAGCCGTGGTAGCTCTGATGGTTAGCGCTCGCTGTAAGTTTCACAGTACGCGAATATCCCGGGTTCGATCTCCGCCGGCACCAATGAAATTGTTATTTGAAATTTTAAGTCTTGATTTACCACGTGCTCGGCGGTGAAGGAAAACATCGTGAGGAAACCTGCATTTCTGAGAAATAAAGAAAAATATATGTCGGAGAATGTGAAGTTCGCCAACACGCATGGGGACAGCTCGGCCGACACTTCCTCTCCCTAAGTTCCACTCCCAGTCATGATTGTGCTGTCGACGTTGTTTCGCTTCGAAGCTATAGAATCTTTAAACAGTGACCGCCAGTCCAGGATATGTTGCTTATTTATATTTTGGTGCTGTCACAGCTGAAAAGATGGTCATCCCGCAGAGAAGTCAATAGACGGCTGGGTGCCGTTCATGGAGGCGGAAGATGTTATAATTTGGCGTAAAGAATACAAGATCGGTCAAGGCCTTTACGCGTACAAAGGTAAGTTTCATTTATTACACCTCTTCTCTACATACTATAAAACAAAGTCGCTTCCCGCCGTCTGTACGCTTAAATCTTTTGAACTGCGCAACGGATTTTAATGCTGTTTGATTGAGTCATCTGTCCGTGTGATGTAACTGAACTCCTAAACGGCTGGATCGATTTTGATGAAATTGTGATTGTGATTTGTGTGTGATTAAGTTGATTAGAGAATGGTTTAGGTTCATAATTGTAGCCGGCAGGTTGTGTTGTTGTCGAGATTGAAGAAATAGAGAGTGCAAGTGAGCACACACACACACATACTTGCGTACTATACTGACCGCGGTTGAGACTGGCCGCGGTGACCGAATTTTGGTGTGACGGACATTTTTATTAATATCTTAAAATCTTGCGGAGATATGCTTGGTTAACAAGTAAGGGTGACAAACGAGCACACAGTCCACCTCATGGTAAGTGGTTACTGTGGCCCATAGACGTCTACATCTATCTTCGTTTGCGAATTAAAATGCCGATGCATTGTCAGCCGTGAGGACTAAGATAGAATGCCTCTTTTCCAGTAAAATGGGTCTCCGGTTCTCTACACTCACCATACGAAACACAGCAGCATTACGCTGCTATTTTACGCTAGTATTCTGTGAGAGCGTGGTCCTTCCCTGGTCGAGCGGACACATTCGGCGCAAGCATAGGTGCACTCTCTATTGCCGCACTCTCATAGTCCGATGGGACGGTTATCCGACACGAGCGGAGAGAGATCAGGCGCAAGGACAACGCCTTTACGTGCCATCCGAGGCACGGGGGTGAGACACCGCCAACCTCCTGACTTCGGGCAGCTACTGAGAATTTCTTTACGAAAACCCAATAAGTGCTTTTGGCCCGACACCGGGCTTCGAAACCCTGACCTCATTATCAACAACTAGTATATCAGTAAGTCAATTAATGACTGCCTCCTTGGTCCAGTGGTTGTAAACGCGACTGCTGATCACGAGGTCCCGGGTTCGATTTCCGGGTCGGGCCAAAAAATGTTAGTTATATATTGAGTTTTTCTGTCAAGAAATTCTCGGTAGCAAACACGTAGTCGGGAAGGTGGCAGTGTTTCCACGAGCTACCACAGCTCCAGTGTTTCACATACGTGCTTTGAAAAGAACATGAAGCCGTTGATCTGATTTATCTAAGATGGTTTCGGTTTGCCATCCCATTGGACTATGAGAGTGAGGGTCTACAAACTACACGTGTGCTTGCGCATACACTCGTGCACTATAATCCTGTCCTAAGCAGATGGCTGGCTGGTTACGACTGACCGCAGTGACCGAAATTCAGTCATTATTATCTGCCGACTTCAAAAAGGAGACGGTACTCAATTCGACTGTATGTATTTTTTATGTGTGTTACCTCATAACTTTTTCGATTTCGATGATTTCTTTTTTATTTGAAAGCTGGTGCTTCACATGTGGTCCCATATAAATTTGATTAAGGTCTGACCAATAGTTTTTGAGTTAGCCTTAGTAACTTATATTGAAGTCGGTTGTACAACATTTTTAATTTTAACTTGTTACAGCTATTAACTACTAAGACTTAATAAAATAGCTCAATGATTATGTGTCTTTGCTTCAGTGTACGGTCGATACCCGGAAGTGAACGCGCGCGATTTCGCCGCAGTACAACTGGACGGTGCGTACCGCCGGGCGTGGGACGCTGCAGTCGCTGCACTAGCCGTGGTGCAGCGTTCCGCGAACGGAGTGCAAGGACAGACCGTTCTACATTGGGAGGTCTTGTGGCCGGTAAGTAGTTCATAATATATTGGGCGAAAAACTCATTTTTCGACGTACAGTTGCAGTCTATATACGACCCCCTACTGGGCACAGGAATTCTCTCATTCCTGAGAGGGTTTTAGGGCAAGGAAATGTCTACCGCGCTGCACTAATGCGTGTTGGAGAACTTCACGTGTCTTCGAAATATTTGTTATTCTTATTTCTGAGACATGCAGGTTTCTTCACGATGTTTTCCTACACCGCCGAGCACGTGGTAAATCGGCGCTTAAAATTGCAATTAATAATTTCTTTGGTGCCGGCCGGTATCAAACCCGGGTTGCTCACGTACTGTGAAACTTACAGCGAGCGCTAACCGTCTGAGTTACCACGGCTCTCTTAAAGATTTAAATTTGCTTCAATAGTGGGAGGCAATTCAGAAAACTGACGATAACAAAATCGAGGGATACAGTCTGGTGTTGCAACTGCATATCTATCATCTACATCCAACATTTAATTACACCACTCCATAGCTAAATGATCAACGAATTTGTAACATTGCGTGAGGACTGTGACAATCGCGCGTGACGGTGGGGGGAGCGCCGTCATTCTGAGGTTGTTTCGTTACGTACACATATTCATATAAAACACACGACTGTGTTCACGACACACTAACATCCCGATTTTTTGTTGTAGAAGCTGTTGCTGGCGACATTCTTTTAGATTTGCTTATTGATAGGCTTTGTCTTGAGAGACTTTTACTGATAACGAGGTATTCCATCTCAGTCTTATGGTGTGACAACGCGTCTGTATTAAGTAACATCAAATTACGTAGTCGAGGGTAGATGTAGATGTCTATGAGCCACAGTATCCACTTATCATCAGGTAGACTGTGTGCTCATTCGACACACTTATTCTATCAAAAATTCAGCGTTGTAGCTTACCGTTACCGCAACTGAGTGATGTGCTTTTTTGGCATGATTTCGACGTATAGTTAGTACAGTTCTTTTTACATTATAATTGTATATTGTTGTGTGCGTCAATGGCTTATGCCAAAATAATTAAAAATGTTGTACAACCGACTTCAATATAAATTAATAAGAATAACTCTAAAACTATTGGTCAGACCTTGATCAAATTTATATGGGACCACATGAGAAGCACCAGCTTTCAAATAAAAAAGAATCATTGGAATCGGTTCACCCAGAAAGAAGTTATGAGGTAACATACATAAAAAAAACATACAGTCGAATTGAGTACTTCGTCGTGTTTGAAATCTTTAGATAAAGTGTTTCTTACTTTCTCTCTTTAAGTGTCCTTGCAGTAGTCCATGAGTCATAATATAGACGACGGGACGCTGCGATTGTGTAACTGGTGGAAACCGATGGGACCGATCGACTTGTATGAGGGTAGGTTAAGGCACCCACACTTTATTCTTAGATTGACAGTTGACACACACGATAGTTATTTAGCAAACGCTTGTTCCGTGATCTAAGTGATTCTTTTTATGCTTAGAAGTCTGTTTGGGTAGGTAGCGGCACAGTAGCAGTAGTGACAATGAATCTGTGATATGTACTGAATTAGCCGCTTATTATCAGATGGACTGACTGTTAGTTCCTTCATCACTTTATATTCATAAAATAACTGGCCAAGTGCGACTCGGACTCACGCATCAAGGGTTCCGAACCATTGTAAAACACGTTCCTAGTAGGGGAGTCCCCTTAATTTTTTTTTATTATTTGTTATTATATCGGCAACAGAAATACACATTCTGTGAAAATTTCAACTGTCTACCCATTACGGATCATGAGATACAGCCCACTAACAGACGGACGGACGGACGGACGAACAGCTGAGGCTTAGTAATAGGGTCGCGTTGGTTACCCTTCGGGTATGGAACCCTTAAAAGAGCTATTACTGTTCTGCAACAGCGATTAAGGCCAAATAAGAGCAACAAATAGAGTCTTTCGTTGTTAATGTTAAGTCGTAATATATCATCGGAAATAAGTCCATTAATAGCATCACCTCTCCTTTCCAGAGACTCTTTGCGAACCGAGACTACGTATACATCAGACGGCACAAGGAGTTCGACGTCCACAACGAACCCCTCACACGAACCGACAAAGCCAATGTCGACAGCCCTAAGTTAAACCCCAACGAAATGACAAGCGTACACGCGAAAGCGAAACGGAAAGCTATGGAGAACTACGAGAGGGAAAGAGAGGACAGTAGGAGGGAGTTCGTCGACAATAAAGTGTATATAATAGTGTCGAGGTCTTGCGAGCATCCAGACGTCCCGGAGACGAAGCACGCTATACGAGTGGTGGAGTATTGGAGTCATATAGTGGTGAAGACTCTCGAGGGAGCTGATAAGGTGGCGTATTCGTTAATTGGTATCAACGGTGTGATGATGTAACTCTGGTGAAAATCACGATCGGCATCGTTCTAACTGTTGTCTAATTGTATCTGTATAATATATTATGACGATGTTTTTTTGCTACCACGTTTTTGGCCGAATTCAATAAATAGGTTCGGAATTGGACTGTACGTTCTTTTGTTTGCATGTATGTTACACGATGTCTTCGCCATTGTTTGACCGATTTTATTGATACTTCTTTTTGACCCCCGACGAAAAAAAGTTTGACCGCTATGTTTGTGTGTGTGTGTGTGTGTGTGTGTGTGTGTGTGTGTGTGTGTGTGTCTGTCTGTGTGTACAAATAAATAAAATTGAAGTGTCTGTTTGTAATGTCAAAATAACAGCATTTTTACTAAATGCATATGAAAGTATGTACGGTACTTATAACATAAACACAATTTTAAAAATTTTTGCCTGTCTGTCTGTCTGTTATGTCTTGTCTCTCCAAAACGGTTGGACCGATTTTGACGGGACTTTCACTAACAGATAGCTAATGATATACGGAGTAACTTAGAGTACTTTTATTTTAGAAAAGGAATTAGGGTTCCTCGCAAAGAGATTAAAAGCCATAAAATCTAATCGTACTAAATTCCACGCGGGCAAAGTCGCGGGAAACAACTAGTTAGATATAATATTTTTAAGTCTATTCTAAACTTCCATCGGTAAATTATGAGACTAGGGACTTGAAACTTTAACTAAAGCTTATTGTGACACAATGAGTTTTAATTAAAGTTGTGTGTTTGTCCGATCGGTAGAAATTTTGCAATACATTTTAAATTAAGTGTCCGGTGCTGCTGAGCTGAAGTGACTTGAAATTTTAACCACGTTTTCTATATTAGTAACATATTTTAGGTTACAAAGTGTTGTCACTGTCATGCGGAGTGATTCCCACCAGCAACGATTACCACCAGAGTTACATAATCGCATCCTCTTGCAGATGTCCATTTTAACCCTAAAAAGTCTACTGTTGGATATGAGTCTCTTCGTACTCGTATCTGTTGCTCTCTGTCGCTGACCTGGGTATTCTACGTCCGGCGTAAAGGAGATCTCTTTCGACACCCACGGTATGGAATGTGTGATGGAGTCTCTTATGCAGACTCCACACGGTAATCACCATTGTTCGACTTTTCAAGTTTAGGAGACCTGTAAACTTAATAAGTAAAAATTAAAAATTTTGTATTACTGACTTCAATATAAATTATTAATAATAACTCAAAAACTATTGGTTAGACCTTGATCAATTTTTATATATCAAAATTTATATAGGACCACACGAAAAGCACCAGTTTCAAATAAAAAAAGAATCATCGAAAACGGTTCACCCAATAAAAAGTTATGAGGTAACACACATAAAAAAGGGCATACAGCCGAATTGAGTACCGTCTCCTTTTTGAAGTCGGTAGAAAAATGGGGTTTAAAGTTGAACACTATTTTAAAGTTGCTTTCTATGAAATAGCGTTTAATAAAACTGCACAAATAAAAACAGAACAATGTCTGAAGTTATCTAGACTATATTTTAAAATAAAAACTTTTGCAAAAAGAGAAATATTGATAAAAATAATAATCTTTGACTTTACCTCTAAATGAAGCCATATTACTATTAATAATGTAATATAACTATTAATAATAGTATCTATATACTACTCTGGCGAAGACAGAACTGGTCGCTAGTAAATAAATAAACAAAATGCACAATAAATTGCAGAACTAATTACAAACCGCCTCAGTTAACTTGATACGGCAAAAAAAATAGTCTATGGAATACTTTCAAGTATTGATTAATCTGGGGGCACGGCAGTGCCCCCGCCAAGTCGAGCAAAAAAGCGGCACGGCCGTACCATCTTTTTCTCGATGCAGTTCAGGCCATTTTCGACCCCTATAACTTCGTTGTGGATAAAACTAGAAACCTGAATTTTCACTTACCAAGTAGACATTGTATAAACTCGGTATATTTGAAATTTCATTAAATTTGAACCAGTAGTTTAAGAATTATAACTAGTCAAAATTTCTTAATTTTGTCACTCACTGACTGACCGAACATCAAACTCTAAGGCACTTCTAGCAGACATGGAAGCTTTAAATTTGGAATACAATTATTGTTTATAAATCAAGGCAAAATTAAAATATTTTGCAATTTCGGTCCAGTTTACGAGATACACCAACTGCATAAATAACTTTGTAATCCCATATAAATATATAGGATTACAAAGTTACATTTGCAGTATAGTGGCGGTTAAGAATATCCACTACTCCATATCTTCCCGTGGGTGTCGTAAAAGGCGACAAAGGGAAACTGGCAGGAAATGGGCAGCAGCATCTTCCTGGTAACGGCAAAAAAACAATAAAAAACTGCGGTTGCCAACCCGCTCACCAAGCGTGGCAACTATGGCAATATACCCCCCATGATGAAAGTTACGAAGAGACGGCCCCCAGTCCCTGGCGGCCCCGCTATTCCTGGCTACGGTGGCGACCATGGTAACGGCGGGGCAGGGGGTGCTAAGAATCTCCGGTGGAGGTTCGGTTGCCACCTAAGACGACTTGACCTGGCAACATACAACGCACGCACCCTGAGGACTGACGAGAAGATTGTGGAGCTGGAAGAAGAGATAGACAAGTTACGCTGGCATATTATAGGATTATCCGAAGTCCGAAGAGAGGGGGAGGACACGGTAATCCTCGAATCCGGAAACTTGCTCTATTACCGGGAGGGCGACCATCTGTCCCAAGGAGGTGTCGGATTTATCGTCCACAAGTTTCTCGTTAACAACGTTGTAAAGATTGAGGGTGTGTCGACGAGGGATGCGTACCTTATACTCAGAATCACCAAACGGTATTCGCTGAAGGTCATACAGGTTTACGCACCAACCTCGGCACACCCCGATCAGGGGGTGGAGGAAATGTATGAGGATATCTCTAGAGCCATGCATTCCTCCAAACCCAATATACGGTGTTAATGGGAGACTTCAATGCAAAACTAGGCACAAGAGAGAACGGTGAGTTGAAAGTGGGGAAATTTGGAATAGGGCAACGGAACCCAAGGGGCCAGCAGCTGTCCGACTTTGTCGACTCTTTATGACGAACTCTTTCTTCCAGAAGCGGTCCCACAGGAAGTGGAACTGGTCGAGCCCCGACGGTTCGACAAAAAATGAGATTGACTTCATTATGACGACCAGACGACAACTGTTCAGTGATGTCTCAGTGATCGCGAGGATGAAAACCGGCAGCGATCACCGAATGGTTACAGGCACACTGAACCTAAACGTTAAGTTGGAGAGAGGTCTCGTCTAATGAAGTCAACGCTCTGTCCCCCTCGTGCTCTAATCCAAAGTCCCGAAACCTTTCAGCTCGAGTTACAAAACCGTTTTCAGTGCCTAGAAGACTGCAATGAAGTGGACGATTTGAATGACAAGCTCGTGGAAACAGTCCATGCGGTCGGAGCTAAGTTCTGCAAGACCCGCCGCAGAAGAACACAAAAACTTTCCGATCACACTCTTAATCTCATGGCTGTTAGACGGGAGATGAAGCTACATTCTTCAACAGATTTGACAGCATACAGGCATCTGAACAGACAGATCTCCAAATGCATGCGGCGGGACTTATGCAACTTCAATACAGCTCGTATTGAAGAAGCGATCGAGCGGAACCAAGGCTCCAAAGTCTTTGCTAGAGATCTGTCTGACAGAAAGAGCCAACTGTCAAAGCTGAAGACCGAATGTGGCAGCATCGTTTCCGGGGCACCTGAGATTTTGAGTGAGATTGAGAGGTTCTATGGGCAGCTGTACACGTCATCGTTGGAGCCGCACGCAAGTGTGAGTAACGATCCAAGAACGAGTCTTATCCGACATTATTCCGATGATATCCCTGACGTCAGTCTGAGTGAGATTAGAATGGCTCTCCAGCACCTTAAAAACGGCAAGGCCCCAGGCGAGGATGAAATTACAGCGGAGCTTCTGAAAGCGGGTGGAAAACCGGTACTTGAAGTCCTTCAGAAGCTCTTTAATTCCGTCCTCCATGGTGGTATTACACCGGAGGCGTGGAGCAGAAGTGCGGTGGTCTTGTTCTTCAAGAAAGGCGACAACGCTCTCTTGAAGAACTACAGAATAACTCCATGATTTTTTTAAATTTGAAATTAGAATTCTTAGCCAAACAAAAATTATTTAGATTTGAAATGGCCAGTACTGGAGAACGGCAATTTCATATGTAAAAACCTATAAAGATAATTACTTTAAAATTATTACCATTCATTTTAATTTAGATTAATTTTGTAGAGAACCGGAGACCCCTTTTACTGGAAAAGAGGTGTAGTATCTACCTAGTATCTATACGTATGTTTGGGTATAATCTCATATATAAACTTAACAATAACGTAATTTCAGACAGTCTTACGTCAACACTCAAGTGTTTCATTTCCCTCGTCCTTACATGGCGACCCTGCCAGGCGGTGCACTGCGGCAATGCAAATGCACCGCCGGGCCTATTTAAAAAAAAGTGGGAATAAATATTGCTAAGTTAATAAAGAAGAGCTGAGTAAAATGATTGACAATAAAGTAATATTACAACGCAATGAATACAACACCGGACGTGATGAAACATAAATAAATATGAATTCGAGAAGAAGCCACAATCACACAATAAGAATTTTATAGAAGCTGACTGAAAATTTAAAATATATAATATATAGTACTATCAAGACAACTAACGAAGAATGAGGAAATAAAATGGCGATTTTTTTAATATGATGACCAAAGTTCAAAATTCAAGAAACGGCAGATTAGTTTTAAAAGGAAAGAAACAGTTGTACTTTTGCAAGCTTCATCCAGAAGAATATGAAATATGAACCAAAAGAACAAAGAAGAAAATTTGAGGTAACATCGCATCAGCCCATTTTTTGTCATTTCTTTATAAGATTTCTTTAAAAAGTTTTAACTATTAAAAAAAAAGTTATGTACTAAATATTCTGTATTTCATATATGTTTAAGTTGAAATTAATTATTAGATAT